AATTTGTAATAAAAAGGGAGGACAGCGACTACTTGACAGTTTTTAATGGTATTAATGTTTCATAATAATAATAAAAGAATATATGTTGATATAAATGAAGATTGAAAATGGAAAATTAAGGGTAAAGACCAAAGGGAAAAGTGACGTCGTTTTCACTCGGTTTAGTTTCGAAGTTCTCGGATGCTTCCATTTACGTGAGTTCCAACTCAGAATTTTCGTCACCGTATGACAACTCTCACTTTCCCCTCACCTAACACTCCCTCTCCTCTCCCGTCTCCATTATCCCCTTTTTTTTTGGCATTTTATGCTACTTTCTTATTTATATATAATTTATATTTAATAATAACGATTTTAATTTTTATTCTTTGTTTTTTAAGAATTATGCTTATTTTTTTTTTTGTAATTTATTTAATATTTTTTTTTTCCAAATCGCATTAGAATCATTGGTCCAAATTTAAAACAAAAACAAAAACAAAACAAAATAAGCTTTTTAGGTTTCAAAAACTATATAAATTGTTGTAGTTTTTAAATTTTGGTTTAAATGATGAAAATATATTTAAAAAGCAGCAAAACAGAGAAACATATAGGTGGAATTTTTTTTTTACTTGTATTTATTCATAAATAATATTTGTTACTATTATTATTAATATTGTCTGAAATAATTTCTTGGAATCTACTCAAATTTTAACTTTCTTTTTTGTTTAGTTTTATTAGAATATAACCATCGATTTTTGAAATGGTAATAGAAAGATGATTATCAATGTTAACGAGAAAGAAATTGAAATTTGCTTATACATAAAGATTTAATATACTCTAGAACTATGATAAACTAAATTTGAATTAAAAATTTTAAGAGGATATTTAGGATATGTTTAATATTTAATTAATAACATAGAAGAGGGTGAGAAAGAGAGCCTTGTTCTATAATAATGAAACTAATAAAAGTGGAGAAAAGAAACAATATATTAATGTTGGGAAGATGAGGCATGAGGCAGCTGGAGGGATAAGGACCACGATTGTTTTATCGTTTTCACATTTAATCTACATGCTTTTGTTCCAATCATTTAAGCTCTCTTTTTAGTTTAAATATTATTTTAATTTCGATTTTTATTCATTTTAATTTTCTGTACTTTCATTTAATCCCTTTACTTTCAACTTTCAACTTTTATTTATTTGAGTTTCATTCATCTATACAATTTTAAAAAGTTATCATTTATTTGTGTTAATTTTTATACGTGATGGAAACTCTTTAATATTATTTTATAACTACGTATCAACAAATTTTGTGAGTGAAGATGTATGATCAAACTATGATAGATACAAAGAAGATAAAAATAAAAATGAATGGACTAAAATAGTCCGCTCTTAAAAAATAGAGTAATTAAAATAGATATTATATGCGTTCAAATTAACAAAAATTAAAAGTACGAGAACCAAAATAAATGTTTTAAAAACAGAGAACAAAATGAAATTAAGTAAAAACTAATAGTGTTTTAATATTTTTTTTTTCTTTTTACAACTCTTTCCATTTATTTACTGTAGTGGGAAAAGGGGAAAAAAGTGGTTCAAACAACAAAATCCAATTTTAACTGCTAAAATAATTGCATTACGAAATCAACGTTTCTTTTTCTTTTTCTTTTTCTTTTTTTTTGATAAAATACGAAATCATACCTTATGATTGAACGTTCCATTCATCATATTGGTCACAACTTCAGTTACGCGTGAGCCAATCACCACAAAAAACGTGGATTATGATTTCATTTAAATTTGAGACTTTTTTTTTAGTCAGGATATGGTTAGTTAAATGAAAGATCACAGAAAAAATAATAATAATAAATAATAATAATAATAGTATATCGAACTTGTGATTTTTAAGCTGATTTCATATTCATAACTAATTTATTTACAATTTTATATTATAAATACAGAGGTTCACCTTCTCTATTATTTTCTTTGTTTTCAATTTTTACCGAGATATATCAATACTTCACCAAAACGAGTAAATAAGAATACGTTTGGTTGGAAACTTGGATTCTATTTTTTATTGAATCAAATGGATTTAGTGAATACGCGCCTTTGGTAGAATTTGAGAGATCTGTTTTTACACTGTTTTCGGATTCTGTACTCCAAACAGTAGAAATTCTGAAAACAACTTTTTTATGTTTGAAGTGTTTCCAAATTCAAAATTTAAAATTTTTGAGAGGCAGAACTACAAAGAATAAAAACTCTGATAAATATACTACTTCATATTATAAACTAATTTATGTTTTTTAAAATTTAAAAACATAATGTATTCTAAATTATATAATCTTGTAAAATAATAATTATACAAAATTCACAAAAAATGTTAATAAAATAATTAATATAAGTTTATATTAAATTAAATATTTAGCTTGTAACTCCTTCAAATTTACAAATATATTAATAATTTTTTAAATTGAGATCGAATTACCAAATTTACTATCAAACATATATCAAAAACACTGAAAACATAGAATACAACTCTGATTTTTATTTCAAATTTATATTTTATATTACCAGCCAAACGCATCTAGAACCCATGAAACTAATTTTTTTAAAAAAACATCATTTTCTTTTAAATTTACTTAAGAATTAGATATAAAAAGGATCCACGCTTCCAAGGAGGTAAACAGAACAACAATCATCACTTTATTAATTTTGAAACGAGTGGATTTTTAGTGTTTTCATTTTCTCTAAACCATATTCAATTTCAAAAACACCTATTTTATTATTGGTTAAGACACGATTTATTGAAGATAACCAAAGAAAACAATACAATGACTTCTTTTTAAAAAAATATACCGAATAATCAAATTATATTAATTATGGCACTTTTTGTATAATCCTATAATGTTTGCATTTGCAACTAGAATTAAGTATAGCTTAAGACATAATTAAGCTCACTAATAATAGAGACGGTTAGAGCAATGGTCAAACATCCCACTTTATTCACTCAATTATTGAGAGATTGAATCTACTCATTGCAAAATCCTCAATCTAAAATTATAATCTTTTTTTTTAAGATAATTAAAACAATAATCTTATATATCTCATGCACATGGATCTTCATGATCTTCAAGCCCCACGTCGTTGATTTTGCATAAAACCTATATATTCCACTAATCATTTATTTTAATTTACATTTTTTTTATTTATATACTTTAATTTTAGTGTAGCCTATTATTCCCTCTCTCTCTTTAGGGCAATGTCCAAACTCCATATAGTTTGATTAATTCTTCATTTTTAGGACACAATCTTGACAAGTATCTTTTATCTCTCCTACATGAGAGGGAGCATAAGATTGGCTTGACATGGTCTAATGGAAACTACATATTTTTTATAAATTAAAAAAAGGGGTTTGAAGAATTAATGAATCTTTTTAAAGTGTGCTTGATTTGTTGCTTAATTAAGTAAGGTTAGAGGGGTGATTAAGGGAGAAATTAATTAAATTGGAATATTATTCTTCATTAATTGAATTTTTTTTTTTTATGTATCTTAGTTTTGATGGGCACATGCTCTATTGGTCCCATAAAAGACCCTTCTTCAATGGTAGGAATTTGAGAGTTTTAGTTTGCACAAATTATTGTATGTTATAATTTCTGTTGCTAATGATGGGAAAATTATGAAATTATATGCATGGGTTGGTGGGGTCACAAGATCTCAAAGGACCTCTTCTTTTGTCATTTTTTTTCTTGGGAAAATCAGAATCTTAATATTTTTTACAACCCAACCAAAAAAAAAAAACCCATAATCTAAACTCTCACTTAGAGCCTCTAATTACCTTGTCAATCAATAACCCATAATCTCAACCAATTAATTCATCGTTTAAGTTTAGGGTTTGCATTTGGGTCTTTTAAGTTTTTTTTTTCTTCTTCAGTACAACATGTGGGGTGGAGAATCGAACTCACAATCTCTAGATTTGAGATATATGTAAATTATCGTTGAACTATACTCGCTTTGACATTTTGGTCTAAGTTTTAAAGTCTGAAAAAGAAAATAATTATAAAGAGGAAAAATTTTAAAGAGAAAACTTTAACATCTTTAAATTTTAAATATAATTTTTTCATTTTAAATTTTAAATATAATTTTTTCATTTAAGATAAATTAAAGATAGAAATTGCTCATTCCTTTCTTGTGTTTTAAAGGGTTTTTCAAATTTTTTTTTTCAATCGAAGTTCAATAAGCTGTTAAGACACCTATGTACGATCAAATGTTCGTGAGTTTGAATATCCACCTCACACGTTGTACTTAACAAAATTCAAATCTAACGGCATGAGATGATGAAAATTAGAACTTTCAATGGAGATTTGTATTTGGGTCTTAGGTTTATATATTCTTTAATCAATTATTAAGCTATATATACTCAAATTAGCTAATTAATTATACTTAGGAGGGGATTTAGGAGAAATTCAACAGGGATTTGCATTTGGTCTTAGGTTTAGGAGAGAAGGAGAAACTGCACCACTGGAAAATAAAAAAGGGAAATGAAATCAAAGTGAGCCATATACATATACATATATATATACTTATTTATTTATTATGGGGAAGAGAGATTACAAAACTAATTTAATATTAAGTAGTTGAAGGGAAAAGCAAAAAAATGGGATTTTGGGGAAGAGCCCTTTTAGGCTAAGATTAAAGATAACACACACCCACTCCCTTTCTTCAACCACCAGATTCGATCGCCTCTCTCTCTGGATCTTAAGCCCATTGAAAATGATGACTCATAAAGTTTTAAAAAATACTTTCACCCAACAAAAAAGAAAAAAAAAACCTCAAGAGAGAGAAGAAAGAGAGTTCAATGATTGATTATTTTTTGTCATTAAAAAAAAAAAAGGGTTCCATGAAAAAAAAAAAAAAAGTGTTAAGGACTTGCTATAAATAGAGACGCCCTTGCTAAGGGCTACATTCAACAGTTTTCACTACAATTCCAATTCTCCTCTCTCTCAGAAGGGAAAGAACAGCTTCTGTATTGTTCTTTTTTTCTTTCTTTCTTTCCCTTTTCTAAGAGAGAGCTTTAAGCTACAAAATCAATGGCGATTGAGATTGAGATCGAAGCAAAGCCAACGGTGGAGCTCTCCAAAGTTGCAGTCTCCGACACTCACGGCGAAGACTCGCCGTACTTCGCCGGCTGGAAAGCTTACGACGAAGATCCTTACCACGAATCAACCAATCCCWCCGGCGTCATCCAAATGGGCCTCGCAGAAAATCAAGTAAGATTAACAAACACCAAAAAAAATCTCAACTTCTTGTGTTTTTCGTCGTAAAGTCTCAATTTTTTTAACTGGGTTGGCGTTGGATTTTYGTAAACAGRTGTCTTTCGACTTGTTGGAGGAGTATTTGGAGCAGAATTGTGAAGGGGGAGCAGCTAATTCTAATTCTAATTCTTCTGGGTTCAGAGAAAATGCCTTGTTCCAAGATTACCATGGGCTGCTCTCTTTTAGGACTGCAATGGCTAGTTTTATGGAGGAAATTAGAGGTGCAAGAGCCAAATTTGATCCCAATAGAGTTGTTTTAACTGCTGGTGCCACTGCCGCCAATGAGCTTCTCACTTTCATTCTCGCCGACCCTGGCGATGCCTTGCTTGTCCCCACTCCTTATTATCCTGGGTAAGAATAAATAAATAAATAAATAAAACTGTTCATTTAATTTCATGCACTAATATTATATATATTTTGGTCGGAGAATTTATGGGTTTTTTTTTCTTGGGTAAATTTCAGATTTGACAGAGATTTGAGATGGAGAACTGGAGTGAAAATTGTACCAATTCACTGCGACAGTTCAAATAACTTTGAGATTACTCCCCAAGCTTTGGAAGCGGCTTATAACGCTGCAGTGGCCATGAATATCAAAGTTAGAGGAGTTTTGATCACGAACCCATCAAACCCACTTGGCGCCACCATCCAACGGTCCACAATCGAAGACATTTTGGATTTCGTGACACGCAAAAACATCCACCTCGTATCCGACGAAATCTACTCCGGCTCTGTCTTCTCCCCGGCCGAGTTCACCAGCGTCGCCGAGGTTTTGGAATTCCGCGGCTACAAAGACGCCGAGCGGGTCCACATCGTATACAGCCTCTCCAAGGACCTCGGCCTTCCGGGGTTCAGAGTCGGCACGATTTATTCGTACAACGATAAAGTCGTGACGACGGCTCGGCGGATGTCGAGCTTCACGCTCATATCTTCCCAAACGCAGCAGCTTTTGGCGTCCATGTTGTCGAACCGGAAATTTACGGAAAAGTACATTAAAATGAACCGGGAGCGGCTGAGGAAGCGGTATGATATGATAATTGAAGGATTGCGAACCGCTGGAATCGAGTGCTTGAAAGGAAACGCCGGTTTATTTTGTTGGATGAATTTGAGTCCATTGCTGAAGAACAAACCAACCAAAGAAGGAGAGATTGAGCTTTGGAAATGCATACTGAAGGAAGTGAAATTGAATATCTCGCCCGGTTCATCGTGTCACTGCTCTGAACCGGGTTGGTTCAGAGTTTGTTTCGCCAACATGAGCGAGGAGACTCTAGACGTTGCTCTTAAGAGAATACATTGCTTCATGGAGAAAATGAAGAAGGAAGAAGCAAATATCTAAAAGAAAAAATTAATTAATTTTTTTTTTTTTTACAATGGTGTGAAAGGAGAGAAAAAAAACCATTGTGATTCTTTTGTGTTGACATTGCCCATTTCTTGGAATTTGGGGTGTGTCTTCATTTATACTTTATTTTATGATTGACTGAGGGAAAAAAAAATCCTTGTTTTCTTGCTTTTTAAAAGCAAGTTTGGTTTCTCAGTAAAAAGAAAATGAAAAGTTCTATTTTTCGGTGATATGAAATATAAATACACTTCTGTTTCTCTCTTCTTTGAAATAATGAGTTGGAAAAAAAAAGTTTAAGATATTTTTCAAGCAATTCACCTGTAAATGTCCCCTTGGTCAGACTCTCACCAATCACCATAATTCTGTCAGAGGAAAAGGAAACAAATACTTTCTCTCTCATGCTGACAAATGTCAACACAGGAGAGAGAGAGAGAAATGGAATATATTAAAATTCAGTTTTTCTTTTTTCTTCTAATTAGCAATATTTTATTATTTCTAAGCAAGCTTTAAACACTGATTTTACTTTCTTTTTTTTTTTTAGTAAAGATTTTACTTTAATTAAACACCCGAAAAGTACTTGTATATATAATTGATCATTTTCTACAAATAGTTCTTTGCCGACTAATATCAACCACCTAGCTTTCAATCTGACGTGGTATTTTCTTATTTATTTATTATTCTAATTTGGTCAACTAGACTCTTAAGACTAATTAAATGTGTCTGAAAGTTGTAAGGTTTCTTTTTCTCAAATCATTCAGAAGTAAATATTTTGATAGTTAACTTATAATTTTCTTATTAACTTATAATTAGAGATTAGTCGATTGAAAGTTAAACATATATTGAGAGATTGAAAAGATATCAGTTTCGTTCATAATCTGATAATTAAATTTGTTTTCTAGGTACAAAACTCAGGCTTTGGTCTTTAGATATAGTTGTGAATATGATGAATTGGGTGTAAATTTATATTAAAAAAATAAACCAAAACATAATATATAATAATAATAATTTTGAAAAAAAATAAGTTTTTTCAATAATAATTTAATTTCATTCTTTTATACTTTTGAAACACTGTCACAATATTAATTTGCACAATTGAACATATAATTTGAAAATTTGATAGGAAAAGTATACACATATATATAAATAATTTGAGACACCTAATTTATTATTAATTTGATAGGAAAAGTATATACATATATATAAATAATTGAGACACCTAATTTATTATTATTATTATTATAAAGTCAAAGAGTTTCTTATTTCTCATTCATTTGCGCTAATGAAATTTTAACCTAATTAGTTTTGTTCCCTCTACTTTTAATTATTGTCCATCTTAGTATTTGTACTCTTGAAATATACGTGTTCCCCTCCTCTCGTTATAGGGGACCGTTTTAATCCCTTCATTTTATTTTTCATTTCATTTTATCACAATTTCAGCAATACAATTATACTTTAAATTTTTTATTGAAATGGCTGTAGCCATAACTTTACTAAAAAAATTTCATTATATATAAAATTTGTATTAAATTTTTGGAAACATGAAAAAAAATTATCTCTTTTTAAAAGTGCATAGACCAATGTATATTTTAAACTATAAAGACTAAAATAAAACAAATGTTACAAATACATGGACACAAATAGTATTTAAACCCAAAATAAAATATAAACTTATTTAATTTGCAAAATTGATCGCTAGCATAAATTACTTACCAAGTAGCACACATACAATCGAATGAGAGATTATTATTAAAGCAAATAAACATATAATAATAAAGATAGAATTAATGGGAAGAAACGTCATGGGTACTCTGAAAAATTTATTCCTTTTTACTTGCCACTTTGGTATCTTATTTTATTTTTATATAACATGTAGGGGTGGGAGTTTAAACTCATGTCATCTTGGTCAAAAATAGGTGTCTTGACCATTTGAGCTATGCTCAGTTTTGACCCACTTCAATATTTTATTAAAACTAACGTGGGCACAAAATTTACTTGCTCGGATTTGGATCACCCTGCATAATAGAAATGAGCACTCTCTCGCGCCCAAATTAATTTTCGCCCTAACTATTCTCTCTCGAGTGTACCTCACATATTCACGTGTATCTAAAGATGAATTTACCTTCAGTATTTATAGGTGTCAGACGGTTAGCACCATGGTACACTCTCTAGAAAACTAGGCGGACTACCTGGTATACTGGCGAGTAGGGAATTAATAAGCAGTTTTCCGAGCCTCTACCATCTGATATTATGACCTCCTCTGATCGGTATGGAAGGATAGTCGATTGGTTGGCTTAAATCATTCACAGTACATTTATTCAGATGACATACCAACTCCTCGTCATAGACATTTGCCTTGCCATTTTTCTGATATTCTCCTTCCTTCCGTGCTAATGTAACTTTTTACTCAGGGATAAAACAACTCCCTGCTCATGATGTGACGTGGCAAATTGGCATTGAATTAGATTCCTAATTTCTCTCTCCATTTTAGAAGGTCATTAATTAATTAAATCTCTCCCACTGGCCGCATTGTGTTTCTTAATTTATTTTACAACAGTTATAATATTTGGTAGATTTTGAGATTTTATTTATTATTATTATTTTTGTATTTTTTACCGCCAAGTCCTTTTAAAAAATGAGTTCAAAATACAAAATTCCTTTTTTAAGTTAGGAGGGCTAATATTGTCCATTTCCTTAAATGCATTAAGATTGAATATATGTATGTGTCTGAATTTTGGATAAGGTTGAGATAATAGTTGTTGTTGCAGTTATTGAAAGTGCTACGAAAGTCACCGACTATTGGGAAACAACCAATTTTGGGCCAAGTCAACCATTAGTAGTTGACTATGAAAATAATTTAATATCTTCTCCCGGTACTTCTTTTTAGTATAACATTTCGAAATCACGACCTACTGATTCTACATTTTTATATTAAACTTTGGTCGTTAATAATGATAATGTCGGGGTATTTATGGGAGTGATTATTTTTTTCTATAACAAATTAAAAGTTACGATTATTTTTTTAATGTGCTTTACATTTATTTTTTAGTTTAATTTTAATTTGAATAATGATGTTTTTCTAAAATTTTAAATATTTAATTATACTTAAAAATATATGTTATTTATATAATAGCAAATTGAGATTAAGTGATAATTTGGATCAACGTGATACAATAAAATATACCAACCGAATAAAATAAGGGATAGACCAATATATATATATATATATATATATATATATATATATATATATATATATATATGTTAAAATTTTATCTCGATCTCTAAACTTGAAAAAAAATTTCCATTTTGGTTTTTAAACTTTTTTTTATTCTATACTTAACTTTGCAAGAAATTATTTTGAGCCCTTAACTTAAAATATTCACTTGATTTTAACAAACTAACATAGTTTCGAATAAATCTGTTAATGGGTTTATATCGAAATGTCTTTTAGCTATATAAGTTAGTTAATGTGAGTATTGAGTAAATAAATATATAATTTGTTTTAAGTTGAACCAAAATAGAAAATGTTGAAAGTTTATTAATCAAAATGAAATTTAAATCGTCAAAGCGATGATAGTTCAACCGTAATTGACATAATAATTTATGTAAGTTTGATCTGCAATCCCACCCCACATATTACTATGTTAGTACTAACAAAAAAAAAAAAAACAGGAGAGATAAATACTAAATAATGAATTGAATATATCCAAGCTATACTCATGCAAGGTTTTGAATACCGAGGTATCAATTTCACAGAAATATCAATAACATGTTGATGTTAACGGATCTTTTTAAAACTCCGTAAAAAACATTTAATTCAATAATTTTAAATAAGATAAATTGTTAATGTTAATATC